GCTCAGATCTTGTCCCTTTGGAATCTGACTTCTGAGTGATGCGGCACGAAGAAGAGAAGGTGGGTGGAGTCCCCTGACAGTACTACCCTGAAAGAGAAAGTCCCTGGATTCCTGGCCCTGGAGTCGCTCTTGCTATCTTCCCCAAAGCCTGCTTGTTCAACTCTTCACTCGCCGAGCTACTGGTGTTTTTCAAATAAATGCCCCTTTCTTGCTTAAGTTGGTCAGAGTCAGTTTCTGTTGCTTGTGCCTGAGAAGACAAACTCATAGTTTCTGGTTTACACCCATTAGGCATCCTGTGATTTCCCGGATCCTTGAATGGCCAGGCAGTAACAGGGTGAGTCATGGGTCTCCGAGAAGGACTCCAGAATATTGTCCCCTCGGTACATGGGTCACAAGGTGACACAGAAGGCTGACAACTGGCACTCAGGTCCAGATGAAAGGTCAGATGGGGCACTCCAACAGACAGCGTCAAGGTGAGGGGAGTGTCTTAAGTCTAGGACTTCTCATGGCAGAGGTGTCTCTGCAAAAAAATCCATCGGACTTTCACTGGTCCGTCTCGTCGAGCCTACTGAAGTCCACCCTCCTCTCCTAGCCTCCCCCCCACCCCGGCCTGGCCTGGGGAAGCACAGTGCGCCATAAGAAGAGCTTACAAAGACACCAAAACTGGCTGCAGGACCTCCTCCTGCCGAGAAGGGGCAGCAAACTCAGGCAATCCATTGTCCAACTGTGGAATCTACCTGATCATATTAGAGTAGTGGTTTTCAACGCTACTGTCCATAAGCTGGTTCAGATCTTGGTTCCATGGTTGGCAGCCCCCAGGTCAGGTCCGTCCCATCAAGGTGTCCAGTCCCGGCTCCCAGAACCCCACTGCATATTCTTCCCTTAAGATGTATATACCTTCAGATTTTTAAAAAAGTATTAGGAAAGTACAGTATGAAAGAAGGGCTTGGACACTGAAAGACAAAGATAAGCTGTAGGGTTAGAGGAAGCATTTATTTACAGGAGCATGTAGAGAAAAGGGTTTTATATGACTTTCGGTAACTGGCCCTGAAATCCTGCTGTGGTCTACAGGAGCGAACTCAAAGAAAAGTCTGTAGTATGTGGGGCTCTGGAAGAGTAAAGCAGGATTCCACTGAAGAGGAGGAAATGGGTTTTTTTAAAAAAGTACTTAGTTTTACTCTGTTTAAGTGATTTATTTAAATCATACTTACATTCTATAATTAAAGGTGAAAAATTAGATGCCGAACGAAGGCTTTCAAGGTTGAGTGATTAAAAACCAAGTTTTTGGACCCGTGTTTGAGAGCAGGAGTCCGCAAACTTTGTCTGCAAAGGGCCAGGTAGCAAATTGTTTTAGGCTTTGTGGGCCGTCACAGCTCTTCAGATCTGCTGTTGTGATACAAAAGCAGCTTTTTTTTTTAAATTTTTTTTTTTTAAAGATTTTATTTATTTATTTGAGAGAGAGAGAGTGAGAGACAGAGAGCATGAGAGGGAGGAGGGTCAGAGGGAGAAGCAGATTCCCTGCTGAGCAGGGAGCCCGATGCGGGACTCGATCCTGGGACTCCAGGATCATGACCTGAGCCGAAGGCAGTCGCTTAACCAACTGAGCCACCCAGGCGCCCCAAAAGCAGCTTTTGAGAGTATCTGAGCACACGGGCATGGATATGTTCCAATAAACTCTACACAAATAGGCAGTGGGTCAGACTTGGCCTGAGTCACAGTTTGCCAACCCCTGTTTTGTAAACTGAGATTCAATTAAACATGAGTGTGGGAATTATTTAGATCATGAAGTCATAAATCAAGAGTTACAATCCCCTTGAGGTGGCTTTCCCAACCTGCAGGTATCAAAATTTGAAGTAAATATTTTACGGATCCAAGCCTAAAAGTCTACAACTCCAATTTCTAGTAAAAAAAAAAAAAAAAAAAAAAAAATTCAGGGCTCAGTAAAGATGTAGAAAAGCCACCCTCCACGGTGAAAGTTGGCTTCTTGACTTTTCAGGTCAAAAGTATATGAAATTAGGTATTCACTTGAGCAAAACATCTCATAGACAAGTAGCCTGGAAATGGCTTCCCCAGTGCTCTCTTGGATTACTTTTGCCACATTTTAGGCAATCAATTCTGTTGTGTAAAAGTATGTCGAGGTTGTTAGCATTAGGATAGATGTTTAAATTATTTTTAATGCTCTTGAAATTTAACAATCACTGTTAGTTGAAGATTTAAAAATTAGTAAACAGGGGCGCCTGGGTGGCTCAGTCGTTAAGCGTCTGCCTTCGGCTCAGGTCATGATCCCAGGGTCATAGGATCGAGCCCCGCATCGGGCTCCCCGCTCAGCGGGAAGTCTGCTTCTCCCTCTCCCACTCCTCCTGCTTGTGTTTCCTCTCTCGCTGTCTCTCTGTCAGATAAATAAATAAAATCTTTAAAAAAAAAAATTAGTAAACATTGTATAAGTAATTCTAGAAAAAGAACTGGTCTATGACTGGAGATAAAAGTGTTAAGTTTAGGGGCGCCTGGGTGGCTCAGTTGGTTAAGCGACTGCCTTCGGCTCAGGTCATGATCCTGGAGTCCCGGGATCGAGTCCCGCATCGGGCTCCCTGCTCGGCAGGGAGTCTGCTTCTCCCTCTGACCCTCCCCCCTCTCATGCTCTCCCTATCTCATTCTCTCTCTCAAATAAATAAATAAAATCTTAAAAAAAAAAAAGTGTTAAGTTTGTGGATTGCTTTTTTTTGTTTGCAAATGACAGAAAACCCAAATCAGATTGGTTTAAACCAAAAGAGAAGTTGCTAGCAGAGGTGTGTGGCTTAATATATAGATTAATTATCACTGTCTCTCTCCATCTTAGCTCTGTTCTCCATGTTGGCTTCCTTTGCAGGCTCTATAAAGTCATGAGATGGCTGCCAACAGCTACCGGAGGAGCGTCCTCTAGGTTCCAGTCCAGTGAAGAAGAGAACACCTCTCTTCCCAAAGTCCCAGTAAGTCTCATGGCCTCTCAGCGAACTCAAAGAAAAGCGAACTCAAAGAACTGGCTCTAGCTGGCTCTCATGCCCCTGGCTAGCCCGAGGCTGTGGCCAGGGGTTTGCGGGGCTCCCAACTGGCCCTCACCCGCATGCAGGCAGCCACGGGGCAGAGTAAACTCTGCTTGAAGCACGAGGACTGCTTGCGGTGGATCACAACGGTTCACTGGGGAAAATGAGGGAAGGCTCGATGAGTTCTGAGCGGCAAAACCAAGAGCTACATCTTCGGCTTTGTTTGACCTTCTCTTGAGAAACTCTGTTGGCCTCCTTCATTCTTGGTGTCAGGTGTGATTTGCCTCACAGCCGTCTCTTGGCATAGTCCTTCCTACCGTAGCCAACTTCCAATTTATCTGCAGTGGTGCAAATGTCCAGATCGAGCCTTCCCGCAAAGCCTACTCCACATACAAAATGGCACAACCAACGGGGCCATCATGCGTTCTATACGGAGAGGCCCAGGGCCTTTCTCCTTGCAAAGTACCTGGGGCCTGAGGAGCTGCTTTAAATTTGGGATTAGACATCTAGGTTTGAAAATGTAATAGCAGAGTTTTCATTCCTTCATGTGACTGAGGAAAGACCATGGGTTCCCAGAGAGGCCCCATATTCTTAAATTCCTCTCATTGTCTGAGCTAATTATTAGAACTTGATTTCCATAACTTGAAACACAAGGGTTATAAATAATCATGTGCAAATGTGCCGTGCATGGAGAACCTCAAGCTGGGGTGTGTATGGGATGGCAGGATGATTCCAGTGGGCGAGGGAGGGCAAGGCCACCAGCTGGGGCAGCTGAGACTGTGGAAGAGTTGTGGAATACCACAGTTGCTTCAGGGTAAGAAAAGGCAGCAGAAGCCAGGCCAGGCCAATGATGAGCGGAGGGACCATAGTCTGTAGAAGTGACTTCTGAGGGGTGGACGGTAGAGGACAAGGAGAAGTGTTGGCCTGGCTCCTCAGCTGAGCTGCTGAGGGAGGTGGGGACTACATGGACAGCGGCGGTGGCCACAAGCCAAAGGACTTATGCAAGGAACCACGTGAAACAAAGAGTGTCAGGCCCAGAGGAGAGGACTGAAAGAGTGAGGAAGGTTCTGGAACAGACTGTATAGCCAGCCAAACAAACTGGGTAACAGGAGACTGTCTTTCTGTTTTACCTTAATAGATGAGCTAAACATTTTACCTCAAACCATGGGGGAGTTTAACTGTATGCCTAAACAAGCAACAGGGAGAGGCATAGCCAAGAAAGGTAGGACCTTCAATGTGGGGGAAGACAGAGTCTCCGAGAAGTCAACTTCTTCCATGTTATTCCACAAGGTGACAGGGAAAAGAGAGGTCCGACACGAGCCCAACTTTGCCTACGTGCCCAGATCTGTGAGGGTAGGGGTTGTGGTGGGCAGCGAAGGCAGCCCCCCACTATGCCCCACACCCGCTGGGCCTTCCTAGAGCAATAGAGCCTGTGCTGCTCATGGCAGAGATCCGCGTGAACGGTGGCACCTGATCTCTGTCTTCACCTCGGAGTCCACCCCGCTGGGACCTGCACATTTAGTGGGTTCAACAGAGGTGGGAATGAACCCATGCCCTCCCACATCCAAGCAGTCGCACTCTCACTCCTAAGGTGAACTCGAGGCCCCTGGGTGCCATTTGTAGAGGACCCACGTTTCCCTTCAGTGGTGGCACGGGGAAGCCCACTCTGTGGCCGCGCTCTCTGGGCCATCTCCCCTGGAGCTGCATCCTTTTCATCTTCAGACGCAGGGGCCATGTGTCCGTGAGGATCTCCTCGGCCTCTGCAGGCTGTGGGACAGGACTGTCTGGGCTTGAATCTCAGCTCCTACATGGGTTGTGAACCTTGAACAACAAAGAGCTTAACAGGCCCATCAACATCCCGATTTCTTAATCTGTAAAAGAAGAATGTGATTGCTAATTTGTGGTGAATGTTACGTAAGGTAATACACAGCGGACACAGCTAAGTATTTGGTAAGGTCAGCTACTTACCGCTGGCTTTCCTGTCACAGCCCGAATCAGGTCTCTCCCGTCCCTTGTCAAACACCTCGTTGTTGTGTTTTTCAGGGCTTCCTCTTGGACCGATTCCCACCGATGTCTGTGTGCCTCCCACCGTGTGTTTCCTGAACCTTAGGACCCAGTGCCATCCATTCCAGAACATTCCACCACCCGGAGTAGCTGGTGTTTGCCTGGCTTTGGACTTCACGGAGCGGGGTTTATTCAGAGTTTTTGAGGAGGACCCTGTGCAGAGTAAGAGCAAGAGTACACCTTCCCGGACTTCTCTCTCTGAAAGGTGGGTTATTAGACGTTTCCGGGTGTTAGGGAGACAGACACCTAAGGATTAGAAGCATTTTTTCTCAGGTTCTCACCTGAGGGCTTTGCTCCACCAATGCACCTTGGCAGCTTCTCCCAGATCAACAGTAATGCCCTATGTTTCATGATGACTTCATTATTGCATCTCAAAGGCCAGGCTGGCCAGACTATTTCTTCAGTGCTTTTCCTTTCCAGCTCAACTAGTCATTAAGAATCAGCTTTAAAAAACTGCAAAGCCCGTGTATGCAGCCCAGGGCCTCACCCTCACCTCCCCTCTTCTCCCGCCTCCTGGAATCAGGCTTCCAGAAAGTAGTCTCATGCCACTCCCAAAAGGCTGCATCTGATTTGTTTCCATAGCGTCACAGAGGATCATTAACTCCTCTACACTTTCTCAAACTTATTAAATTATGAAACATTTGCTGCACCTGAGTGCACCTTGGTCTCCTGTGGTGATTGGAGGGGGCAAGAAGGGAAGTCTGGAAGCCCCACCCTCCCCAGGGCCAGCCCAGCCCAGAATCCCTGGCTTTCTCTCTCCCTTACGATTTTGGCAGGCAGTGAGACGTTAATCTCTTTCAACTGGAGCGGGTTCGCTTCGTTTCTCTCCTGGGAGGAGGCCAACAGGAACTGACCCCAGGTTGCCATGAGCTCTGCCATCACCTGCTGTGAGCACCCCGACCCTTTGGTGAGTGCGGCTGAAAGAGAGGAGACGAGAAGAAGGGGGCAGGCAGAATGAAGAAAGGCCTGGAGGGGGTCCCGGTGCCCTAGTTCATTATTTGTGCTCAGCACGTGTGGCTCACGTTCTAGAGAAGATTGTAGATTACTAGACAGGTGTGCACCTGCCTTCCCCACCATGCCGTCATGAGGCCAAGATGCCTCCCTGAGTGCTGAACTCGGTGAATGCACTCCCGAGCAAGGAGGAAGCACTGGAAGATCCTTTTAGTTTTACCTTTATTCACAGTTGGTCTCTGAAGATACCTAAATATTTGTTTTCCAGGTTTCTCCATGCTATGATTTCTTTGATCAGAAGGACTTTCTAAAACAAAGCAAAGGGAAAGAGAGAGGGCATCGGAGAGAGAGAGAACTAATATTTACCAAACAACCAATACAGCCCGGGCACTTTATGTGTTTTATTTCCTTCCTTCCAAGCCAACGGTGCAGGTGCTTCTGTTCCCGGATGAGGAACCTGAGGCCCAGAGAAATACAGTAACAGTAACCCCTCTGGAGGCTTCTCTGGCGAGTCCTTGAGCCCTGGCCCCACCACCTTCCCAACCGATTTTTGAGCACCTAAAAGTAAGAGGGTGAACTGAGTGGAGACACTCTTGTTCTTGGTACTGCTCACCCCCAGGGAGAAAGAGCTCCTGTTCACCGGGGCTTGCGGGCCCTGCAGGATGGGGGTCACCCACGGACTTGGGCTGGGCCCCCACAGCTGTCCCCTGGGGCCAGGCCGCCAGACCCTGCCCACAGAGGCTCAGCCCTCTGGTGCAGAGACCCCGGCTGTTTTTTCCCAGGAACTCGTGGAAGGCACTTGAGAGATCTCGCTTCTTTTTCTCTTCAGGATTCTTTCTGCCCCTACCGTCATGGAAACAAAACAAAACAAAAGTCTTGGGAAATCAGTCAGAGACTTCTACATTTTGGTTTACCTGAGGCCACCTAGAGTGTGGCAGGTCTGGGCCTGTACCCATCCTCTTTTCAGTGGCCTGCCTTCTCTTCATCCTCGGCACCCACTCTTCTGAGATGTCTTTGGTTTCGCATCATGTTGCTCTGCTGGAAACTTTGAGGAACATTAGCAAGGGGGAGACAGCTTCCTGACCCTGAAAGCTTGTGGCCTAGCTAGGGGAACGCAGGGTACACAGAAATGTTTCTGGTACAAGAGAGAAAACAGCAAATTATGTAACAGAGAGACACAGGGTGCTCTCTGGGAGTTACCAGGGAGAAAAATCATATGAGTGTGGAGAGGTCAGGAGAGGTGAGGGGGAGGAGGTGTTGAGCTCTTGCAAGTGGGTAGGGGAAGCAGGGGGCTCAAGGGGGGCCCTCAGGGGGAGCTAAGACTCTGACACAGGATAACGGAGGCCACACTTGGAGAAACCTGGACGACCCCATTGGCTACAGCCAGGTCGATGGGAGTGTTAGGAAACAAACCTAGAGGGCCAGGCAGGGTACTGGAAGCTGTGTGGGGTGTGAGTGGAGTCAGAGGGGCAAGGGACCCCTCTTCCTCCCGGGAACTCCATTGCTGTCCCTGCACCCGATCTCCTCCTGCCCTGCCTGGCAGCCCCAGGCAGTCGGGCACTGCAGCCGCTTACATTGGCACGCTGCGTCCATTCATTCGGTCCACACTGAACACAGGTGTTGGCTCATCTAGAAGCTGGGACTGCACCGAAGAGTAAGGCACAGTCAGTGCATTCTAGGAACTCACAGCCCAGCAGAAGCGATGGATACGGTAACTGTCCACTAGAATAACCATGCCAAGAGGAGAGCTTTGGTGGGTGTAAACACAGGGCCCATGGGAGCCCCTCTGGGGGCAGCTACAGCATTCTGGGGCCAGGATCCCCATGTACCTTCTGGGGGGGAAATCTGCCCATCGTCTGACCTTGGAGTTGGCCCCCAACCCCTCCTCCACAAAGCTGCTACTCAGCAAAGGGCTTCAGGCAAAGCAGCCACTCCCCTCGCGTGACCCCAGACCACACACGCAGGCCCTACTGAAGATATGTAATGTAGAAAATCACTGGTCTTTTGAGTCTGGACCAGAAATCCCAAACTGGCCAACCGTTATCCCTATCCCATTGCCTCTTGCCCCTGGCAGGCCATCCATCTACCCAGCTGAAATCAGGAAGTCCACTTGATTCCTCTTAAAATGTCTAGATGTGTCCTTCTCTTGTTCCCAGCAGAGGGGTGACAATGTGCTCAACTGTCACAATGATGGCCAAGGCAGGAAGAAGGCTGGGCAGGCCAGGAGCTCCAGCAGCAGCCCGGTGATCTACGGCATCCTGGATGTCCCACCGTGGTACCTCTGCATCTTCTTGGGGATCCAGGTAATGCCACCCAGCGAGCCCTGGGTCCAAAGAGGCTCTGCCTCAAAAGCCACACTGATCGCACCCAGGCCCAATTAGTCAAGATCTACAACTTTGGTTACTGATATTCTTGTCTTCCACGTAGCTGAGCTCCAGGGGAACTCAAAGCTCCTTGTCTCTCTTTCTCTCAGGGGTGTGGGGGTGGGGGGTTGGAATTAGCGGAAGAGTCTCCCTCATGCTAAGCCTATAGGTAACATCAAGGACACCGACTGCATCATTTTCATGATACCAACCTCAATTTATTTGATTTGCAACAACTAAAAAATGTGATAACCAGGGCTTGGGGAATTTGGGGAAACAAGCATTGTCAAACACTTGTGTTGGAACATTTTTTAGTGCAGCCTTTCTGGATGGCCGTTGGTGGTTTCTATCAACATGTAAACCATATGCCCTTTAACCCAGTCCCCAGTGCTTAAGAATTTCTCTGTGGATACACTGGCAAGACTTGTTAAGATAAGTACAAAGACATTCTTGTAACATTATTGGCGATACTAACATCAAACCACACAACAAACAAATAAGCACAAACCCTAGAAACAACCCAAATATCCTTCAAAGGGAACGGGTTGAACAAATTGTGACCACATCCGAACAGATGTGAGAGATATATTTCTCTTGCAGTTAGGGAATATTCCCCAATAGATGGTAAGTGAAAAAAGCAAAGTAAATAACTATGTATATACTGTTATCTTTTATGTGTGTGTTACAAACAGAGAGAGAGAAAGATAGAAATAAGTATATGTAGTGATTTGGGGTTTTGAAGGATCCCTAAGAAACTAACAAAGGTAGCTTTGGGAAGAAGAACCAAGGAAGGGGAGGTGGCTTTCCATTTTCACTTTTGATTCTTTAAGTTTCTGTAACATGAATTTGCCAGACTCACAGATGTGTTTCTTTTAATTTTACAAAGTGTTCAATATAGAATATCAGGGATGGGATACACTTTTGTTTACTTCTTGGTGCTTTTCCATAAAGTAAGAAAAGCCGATGTCATACTACTTAAAAAATATTATTATTATTTTTTTTAAAGATTTTATTTATTTACTTGAGACAGAGAGAATGAGAGACAGAGAGCATGAGAGGGAGGAGGGTCAGAGGGAGAAGCAGACTCGCTGCCGAGCAGGGAGCCCGATGCGGGACTCGATCCCGGGACTCCAGGATCATGACCTGAGCCGAAGGCAGTCGCTTAACCAACTGAGCCACCCAGGCGCCCCTTAAAAAATATTATTATGAGCCAATAAAATGGATAATATAGATAATATAGATCTACAGCCACTGACTCAGAGAACTGTAAGGACATATTTTTGAATTTAAGAAAGCCAAATGCAGCTGTCCAATTTTCCCAACATGATTTGTTGAACAGTTTGCTTTTCTCCCATTGGATATTCTTTTCAGCTTGTCAAAGAATAATTGACATATACTTGTGGGTTTATTTCTGGGTTTTCTATTTTGTTCCATTGATCTATGTGTCTATTTCTATGCCAGTACCATGCTGTTTTGATTACTACAGCTTTGTAATATAAGTTGAAGTCCAGAATTGTGATGCCTTCAGCTTTGCTTTTCTTTCTTCTTCTCCTCTCCTTCTCCTCCTTCTCTTCTCCTTCTCCTTCTTCTTCTTCTTCCTCTTCTTCAGAGTGGTAGGGGGAAAAGGGGAGAGGGAGAGAGGATCTTAAGCAGGCTCCATGCCCAGCGCAGAGCCTGATGTGGGGCTCAATCTCATGACCCTGAGATCATGAGCTGAGCTGAAATCAAGACTTGGACGCTCAACCGACTGAGCCACCCAGGTGCCCTTCCAGCTGTGTTTTTCATTTTCAAGATTGTGTTGGCTATTCAGGGTCTTTTGTGGTTCCATACAAATTTTAGGATTGGTTGTTCTAGTTCTGTGAAAAATACTGTTGGTATTTTGATAAGAATTGCATTAAATGTATAGATTACTTTAGGTAGTATAGACATTTTAATGATATCTGTTCTTCCTATCCATGAGCATGGAATGCCCTTCACATTCCATGTGTATAGGTCTTTCACCTCTTTAGTTAGGTTTATTCCTAGGTTTCTTATTACTTTTGGTGCAATTGTAAATGAGATTGTTTTCTGAATTTCTCTTTGTGCTGCTTCACTATTGGTGTACAGAAATGCAACAGATTTCTGTATGTTGATTTTGTATCCTGTGACTACTGAATTTATCAGTTCTAGCAGTTTTTTTGATGAAGTCTTTCAGATTTTCATGGTATCATGTCATCTGCAAATAGTGCAATATTTACTTTTTCCTTACCAATTTGGATGCCTTTTATTTCTTTTTGTTGTCTGATTGTTGTGGCTAGGACTTCCAGTACAATTTGAATTAAAGTGGGGAGAGTGGACATCTTGACCTTAGAGGAAAGACTCTCTGTTTTTCCCCACTGAAGATGATATTAGCTGTGGGTTTTTCATATATGGCCTTTTTATGTTGAGGTTTGTTCCCTCTAAACCTGCTTTGCTGAGGGTTTTTTTTTTTTTATCATGAATAGATGTTGTACTTTGTCAAATGCTTTTTGTGCATCCACTGAAATGATCATATGGTTCTTATCCTTTCTCTTATTGATGTGATGTATCACATTGGTTGATTTGGGAATATTGAACCACTGTTGCAACCCAGGAATAAATCCCACTTGATCATGGTGAATGATTTTTTAAATGTATTGTTGAATTCAGTTTCCTAGTATTTTGTTGAGGATTTTTGCATCTATGTTAATCAGGGATATTGATCTGTAGTTCTCCTTTTTAGTGGTGTCTTTATCTTGTTTTGGTATCAGGATAATGCTGGCCTCATAGAATGAATTTGGAAGTTTTCTTTCCTTTTCTATTTTTTGGAATAGTTAGAGAATAACAGGTATTAACTCTTCTTTAAATGTTTGTTAAAATTCACATGTGAAGCCACCTGGCCCTGGACTTTTGTTTGTTGGGAGTTGTTTTGCTTACTGATTCAATTTCTTTGCTGGTTATCAGTCTGTTCAAATTTTCTATTTTATCCAGTTTCAGTTTGGGTATTTTGTGTTTCCAGGAATTTATCCATTTCTTCCAGGTTGGTCCAGTTTGTTGGCATGTAGTTTTTCATAATATTCTGTTGCAATTGTTTGTATTTCTGTAGTGTTGATTGTTATTTGTCCTCTCTCATTTGTGATTTTATTTATTTGAGTCCTTTCTTTTTTCTTTTTGGTAAGTCTGGCCTGAGGTTTATCAATTTTATTGATTTTTTTTTTTTTTCAAAGAACCAACTCCTGGTTTCATTGACTTGTTCTATTGTTTTTTTAGTTTTCATTTATTTCTCCTCTAATCTTTATTATTTCATTTTTTCTGCTGGTTTTAGGTTTTGTTTATTGTTCTTTTTCTAGCTCTTTTAGGGCTAAGGTTAGATTATTTATTTGAGATTCTTCTTGCTTCTTGAGATAGGCCTGTATTGCTATAAACCTCCTTCTTAGAACTGCTTTTATTGAATCCCAAAGGTTTTGGATTGTTGTGTTTTCATTTTCATTTGTTTCCATGTACTTCTTTTTTCTTCTTTTACTTCCTGGCTGACCCATTCACTGTTTAGTAGTGTGTTATTTAACCTCCATGTATTTGTGATCTTTCCAGATTTTTTTCTTGTGGTTGACTTCTAGTTTCATAGTGTTGTGGTCAGAAAAGATGCATGGTAGGACTTTGGTCTTCTTGAATTTGTTGAGGCTTTTTGTGGGCTGATATATGATCTATTCTGGAGGATGTTCCATGTGCACTTGAAAAGAATGTGTATTCTGCTGTTTTAGGATGGAATGTTCTGAATATATCTGTTAAATCCATCTGTTCCAGTGTGTCATTGAAAGCCATTATTTCCTTGTTGATTTTCTGTTTAGATGATCTGTCTATGGATGTAAGTGGGGTGTGAAAGTCCCCTACTATTATTGTATTACTATTGATTAGTTCCTTTATGTTCGTTATTAACTGTTTATATGTATTTGGGTGCTCCCATGTTGGGTGCATAAATATTTATAATTGCTATATCTTCTTGTTGGATTGTCCCCTTTATTATTATATACTGTCCTTCTTTGTCTCTTGTTACAGTCTTTGTTTTGAAGTCTATTTTGTCTGAAATAAGTCTTGCTACTTGGCGCTTTTTTTTTTTTTAAGATTTATTTATTTATTTGAGAGAGAGAGAGAGCGTGGGCAGGGGGAGGGATAGGGGGAGAGAATCCTCAGGCACACTCCCTTCTGAGTTTGGAGCCCAATCTCATAAACCTGAGATCATGACCTGAGCTGAAACCAAGCGTCAGATGCATAACTGACTGAGCCATCCAGGTACCTGCTGCCACCCCCCCACCGCCCCCCCCCTCCCCCCGGCTTTCTTTTGACATCCATTTGCATGATAGGTATTTCTCCATCCCCTCACTTTCAATCTGCGGGCGTCTTTAGGTCTAAAATGAGTCTCTTGTAGGCAGCATATAGATGAGTCTTTTTTAAAATCCATTCTGACACCCTGTGTATTCTGACTGAAGTGTTTAGTCCATTTACATTCAAAGTAATTATTGCTAGATATCTATTTATTACCATTTTATTACTTGTTTTGTGGTTGTTTCTGACGATTTTCTCTGATTCTTTCTTGTCTTTCTCTCTGCCATATTTTGCTGATTTTCTTCAGTGATATATTTGAATTTATTTCTCTTTATTCTTTGCATGTTTATTAGTGGTTTTGGTATATAGCTGCCATTAGGTTTGTATATAACCTCTTCTGCAAATAGTCTATATTAAGTTGGTGGTCGTTTAAGTTTAAATCCATTCTTTTCTCCTCTCCTCCCATGTTTTAGGTATATGTTATTATATTTTATATTTTTGTGTGTATGTGAGTTCCTTGACTGATTTTTTACAGAAATATTCATTGTTACTGCTTTTGTGTTTCCTGCCTTTATACTGTCACTTTTGGTCTCTCCTTTCCACTCAAAGTGTCTCCTTTAATATCTCTTAAGGGACTGGTTTAGTCGTCATGAACTCCTTTAGTTTTTGTTTGTCTGGGAAACACTTTATCTCTCCTTCTATTTCTGAATGATAGTCTTGCTGGATAGAGTATTCTTGGCTGCAGATTTTCCCCCTTAAGCACTTTGACTAGATCATGCCACTCCCTTCTGCCTTGCCAAGTTTCCATTGAAAGATCTCCTACTAGCCTTGTGGGTTTTCCCTTGTAAGTTAATGACTTCTTTTGTCTTGTTGCTTTGAGGATTTTTTTATCACTATATTTCGCAAGTTTAATTACACTATGTCTTGGTGTGGGTCTCCTTTATTGATATTGTCAGGAGTTCTCTGTGCCTCCTGGATCTGGATGTCTGTTTCCTTCCTCAGATTAGGAACATTTTCAGCTATTATTTCTTCAAATACATTTTCTGCCCCCGTTCTCTCTCTTTCTTCTTCTGGGACTCCTATAATACAAATGTTATTATGTTTGATGGATTTACTGAGTTCCCTAAGTCCGTTCTTGTTTTGTGTAATTCTTTTTTCTCTTTTGTTCAGCTTGATTGCTTTCCATGACTCTGTCTTTGAGGTCACTCATTTCTTCCTCTGCTTCTCCTATCCTGTTATTCATCCCATCACATGTGCTCCTCATTTTGTTTACTGAGCCCTTATATCTCTGCTGTGTTATTCCTTATCTCTGTGTTAAGGGTCTCACTCATGTCTTCCACTCTTTTCTTAAGTCTGGTGAGTATCCTCTATCAGGCATGTTACTTATATCTGTTTTGCTTAGCTCTCTGGCCATGGCCTTGTCCTGTTCTTTCATTTGGGATAAATTTCTCTGTCTCCCCATTTTGTCTGCCTCTCTGTGTCTGTTTCTGTGTGTTAAGATAGCTCTGATTTTGCTCTTGAAAGTAGTGGCTTTATGAAGAGGAGGTCCTGAGTGCCCTGCAGGGCAGTGTCCCCTGTTCACCAGGACATGGCACTTCGGGGGAGTCTCCTGTGTGTTGCTAATGCCCTGCTGTTGTGTCTGAGTCTGTACTGCTCTCTGCCTGTTGTGGGCTGTGCCTGTTCTCCGTGGTGTTAGCGGGACCCAGGCAGGCCAGTTCTGAAGGGGCATGCCTGCCAGGCAATTTGGGAGTGGGGCAGCTCCCAAATTCCCAATTTTGTTAGCAGAATTTGCATTGGGCCACTAGTCCTAGGCCAGATTCCCCGAAGCACGTAGGCAGCTGTCGGCTGGGGGCTGCGAGCCAGGCGGCTGGGGGTGTGAGGCTGGGCTCCGTGCCCTGGCTGCGTGCGTGGGGCTGGCAGCAGCGCCCCCTGCGGCTGGCGAGGCACCTGCACAGCTTTAACATAATTTGCCCTGAGCCCGGCGGAGGCCACAAGTGCCCTGCAAAGTGGCTCTATGTTTATGCTGGAGGATTGGGGGGGGGGGGGGGCGGGGGAGAAGGGCACCTGCCGGCTCCCTTGTTTTCAAAGAAGTCCCCCGGCTCGCTCTGAAATCAGTTCAAACAGATCTGTCTCCCGTTTGTTGTATAAGAGGGAGAGAGAGAGAGAGAGAGAGAGAGAGAGAGAGATCAAGTGCACAGGGGGAGGGGCAGAGGGAGAGAGTCCCAAGCAGACTCCCCGCTGAGTCTCACAACCCTGAGATCACGACCTGAGCCCTGAGCCGAAACCAAGAGTCGGCCGCTTACCCGACTGTGCCACCCAGGCGCCCCTGAACTGCCGTTTTTACGGTGCCTCTCCCCGCAGGCTGCTGGCTCTTTAAGGGCGGTGACCCGCCTGTCACTCCCCCTTCCGGTCGGCCCAGTGCTGAGTCAGCTGCCTTTTACAGCTCTGGGCTCCAAGTCCCCCCCGGTTTTACAGACTCCCAGAATTCAGCCCCTCTGGCGTTTAAAGCCAAACGTCGCGGGGGTTAGTCTTCCCTGTGTGAGCCCCCTGGTGCCAGGGCCCATTTCTCTGCCCTCTCTGGCTGCACAGCTCCCTCCCCGCCGCGGGCAGCCTCTCTCCACCTTTCTGACCTTCCGAACCTTCCAGATGCAGCTGCTTCTCTACATTCAGCTGTGGAATTTGTTCCGCCGGTCTTCGGATCACTGTTGGGTTTCTTGACTTGGTTGGGGATGATACCTAGTTGTGAGCGTGGACGGGGGTGAGCTCAGGAGCCCCCCCCGCCCCCCCCGCCATCCTCCCGAGCTCCAAGTCCCTCGCCCACTTTTAACACAGATCCTTTGGGTTTTGCTATTGAGCTCTGTGAGTTCCTTAGACATTCTGGATATTAATGGGGGCGCCTGGGTGGCTCAGTCAGTGAAGCATCAGCCTTTGGCTCAGGTCATGATTGGGGACCCCGGGGTGGAGCCCTGGGTCGGGCTCCCTGCTCAGCCGGGAGCCTGTTTCTCCCTCTCCTCCCTGCTCGTGCTCTCTCTCACTATCTCTGTCCCTTTCTCTCTCAAATAAATAAAATCTTAAAAATTTTTTTTTGGATATTAACCTTTTATCAGAGAGACGGTTTGCAAATACTTTCTCCCATTCTGTAGGCTGTTTTTTTTTTTTAAAGATTTTATTTATTTGAGACAGAATGAGAGACAGAGAGCATGAGAGGGAGGAGGGTCAGAGGGAGAAGCAGACTCCCTGCCGAGCAGGGAGCCTGATGCGGGACTCGATCCCGGGACTCCAGGATCATGACCTGAGCCGAAGGCAGTCGCTTAACCAACTGAGCCACCCAGGCGCCCCAAGTAGGCTGTCTTTTTATTTTGCTGTTTCCTTTTCTGCGCAAAGCTTTTTACTTTGATGTAATCCTGCTTGCTTATTTTTGCTGCTGTTGTTGGTGCTTTTGGTGCCATAGCTAATGATCTTTGCCAAGACCCGATGTTAAGGAGCTTTTCCACAGTGTTTTCTTCTAGGACTTTCATAGTTTCGGGCCTTATATTTAAGTCCTTAATCCATTTTGAGTTAATTTTTGTGAATGGCGCAAGGTAGGAGTTCCCTTTCTCATTCTTCTGAGTGTGGCTGTCCAGATTTTGCAACACCGTTTATTGACGAGACTACCCGTTCCCCCATCAAGTCTTTTTGGCTTCCTTGTCAAATGTTAGTTGACCATGTATGCTTGGGTTTATTTCTGGGCTCTCAATTCTGTTCTATTGGTCTATTTGTCTACTTTTATGGTAGTCCTATTCTGGTTTTTCCTTTTTTTGTTGTTTTTTGGGTTTTTTTGAAAATAACATCCTTCCAGTTTTCAAAAACTGCCATCAAATTTAGTAAAGAATCTGCTTATGTTTGGCAAACAAATGAAATTCTGGTATGTTTTTATTCTTTCATTTTTGTCTTACGTTTTAAGGTAAATGAAAATATCAGCCAGTTCTCAGGTACCATACTGTTTAATTACTGTAGCTTTGTAATAGAGTTTGAAATGCGGAATTATGACGGCTGCTTCTTTGTTTTTCTTTCTCAGGATTGCTTCGGCTATTTGAGGACTTTGGTTGTCCCACACAAATTACAGCATTGTTTTTTCTGTTCTTGTGAACAACGTCATTGAAATTTTGATAGCAATTTCATTGACTCTATAGCTGGCTTTGGATAGTATGGACATTTTAATGATATAAATTCTTTCTCCCTTCTGCTAATTTTGGGCTTAGTTTATTCTTCTTGTTCTAGTTCCTGGAGGTGTAGAGTTAGGTTGCTTGAGATTTTTCTTCTAGGCGTTTATCACTATGAGCTTCCCAGGAGTTTCGATATGTTGTGTTTCCATTTTTGTTTGTCTCAAGATATTTTTTTTTATTTCCCTTTTGATTTCTTCTTATTCCCATTGGTTGTTCAGGAGGGTGTTGCTTGCTTTCCACAAATCTGTGAATTTTCCAGTTTTCCTCCAGTTTCATACCATTACCGTCAGAAAAGACCCTTGGTATGATTCCCTTCTTAAATTTGCCAAGGCTGTTTTGTGACTTAACATATGATCTGTCCAGGGGAATGTGTGCAGGGCTTCCTGGTCATTAGTCTTGCCCTCACCTTGTACCTTGTTTTAATTATGAGCCTCTTACTTTGTTCTTTTTTTCAGATTTTTTTTAGATTTTTGAAAAAGATTTTATTTATTTATTTGACAGAGAGAGACACCACTCAAGTAGCAGAGAGGCAGACAGAGGGAGAATGAGAAGCAGGTTCCCTGCCGAGCAGAGAGCCCGCTGCAGGGCTCGATCCCAGGACCCTGAGATCATGACCTGAGCTGAAGGCAGATATTTAACCAACTGAGCCACCCAGGCAGCCCTCTTGCCTTGTTCTTTTTCTGAAGGCCCCCTCTTTGGTTCCTGTTATGTCCTCCTGTTTTGTGTCTGTGCCTGGGTTTCTTACCCAGGATATCAGTTCCCAGTGTTAGGGTTCTGCCCTTGAACCCCAGACCCTCAGGCTGGGTCTCTGTTTCTTGCTGCCTGGTCTCCCTTGTTCCCACTGCTGATCTGGATGTCTGCCTGTCACTCCTGGTCAGGCTCCTCTGAGACCAGAGGTAGAGCTCTTTCCTCTGGCAGAGGACCAGGAATGAGGGTGGAGGAGGCAGCCCAGCATCTACCTGTCTGTCCACTCTCTCTGCTCTGCCCACAGCACTTCCTCACAGCCCTGGGGGGGCTCGTGGCAGTGCCGCTCATCCTGGCCAAAGACCTGTGCCTGCAGCATGACCCCCTGACTCAGAGCTACCTCATCAGCACCATTTTCTTCGTCTCCGGCCTCTGCACTCTCCTGCAAGTGTTTTTAGGAGTCAGGTAGGTAAAACTCTCTTCTCTGGCTTCTGACTTTTCACTGCTGGAGTATCAGCAAGATTTGCTTGGCTTGCAGCTGGAGAAGTGGTTAGGCAGCTGGTGGGACCTGACAGAAGGAACATGGGACTAGGAATCAGAGCCTGGGTTCAAGTCCTAGCTCCAACACTTACTGTCTGTATTAGCTAGGATTCTCAATTCACGTTACATAAATCCAGACTAGCTTAGGCAAAGATTTGTTCTCTATTAATGTATAAGATCAAGGTAAGAGAAAGGCAAGGTGCATCATGCGTCAGGAACAAGGACTCAGATGGGACTTCTCTTGTTTCTACAAAGGCCTGCCCCTAATCTTTGTGAGATGCAGGGCAAGAATACAAATGGATTCCCACACACTGATGTCCAAATATTGGAGGGTTATAAACCAAACTTAGAGACTCTTAAATAAGATATGTTCTGATCATTCTACCTGGAAGGCCAGGTTGAATTCCAAATTCAACCTCCAAAATTCTGTTTTGGAACTTAGCCACATGGGGAGGGCCAATCCCCAGCCTGTGGCCTTCCTCCTTCTCTTCCTACCTCAAGCTTTGCTCCAGATTATAAATGGTCTTACATCCATGAATGTGGACACCCCAGCCTGCGTATCCAAGCTCCACCCCCCCACACACACACCAGATTCCCCAAATAGCTGATGCCACCCTCGGGCCTGGGGTTGTGCGCACCTGCATCGTGGTCTGCCATGATGGTCTGCCTTCAGACCTGAGGAAAAGGCCCAAGCAGGCTCTGGAAAAGGCTCAGGGCCATTTGGGCAGAGAATTCTTGGCTCTCAAAGGGGAGAGGCACACAGACTTGAGGTGGACATGTCCCCTTGGCCCCGCAGACGCCTCCCCCTAGAAGGCAGAGTGGGGCCCTCTGGAGCATCGGGCTAGGTGCAGGGGGCTCTCCTGTCTGAAGACAGAGCAGTCTCCTCACCACATTGCCAGTGCGCGTGCTCTGTTGTCACAGACAGGCTCCCTGCACAGGATGGTGGACAGGCGGCTGGCAGTCCTCACACTTCTCTCCCAAAGCAGGTGAGTTCTGCTCCGGCGAGTCTCCCATTTTAAAATTCCAGGGAAGAGCGCTAATTGGTGCAACGTAAACCAGATGCCCAGCTCTCACCCATCGGGGCAACAAATATGAAGACTCCTACTGAGGAAAGTTTCCCAAAGAACAGAGAAGAGGAGTTCTGTTCTGAGTAGACAAGACCCCAGAGATTCACTGAGTGGGATATGGGGTTTGGGACCTATAAAATAAGGCCCATGCTCATATTGCGTTTTCTCCCTTAGAGTTGCATTGAGATGCGCAATTGTTAAAATCAGTGGAATCACCTTTAAAAAACAAAAAACAAAAAACATCAAGTCCTTGGGGCGCCTGGGTGGCTCAGTCAGTTAAACGTCTGCCTTCAGCTCAGGTCATGATCCCGGGGTCCTGGGATCGAGCCCCACATCGGGCTCCCTGCTCGGTGGGAAGTCTGCTTCTTCCTCTCCCTCTGCCTGCCACACCTCTTGCTTGTGCTCTCTCCCTCTCTCTCCCTCTCTCTCTCAAATAAATAAATACAATCTTAAAAAACAAAAACAAAAACATCAAGTCCTTTATGCTCATACATAGACTGCTAAAATTAGTCTGAGTAAAATGGAATCCAGTTGCTCTGGAGCTGGCCTGGACAAAATCGTGAGGCCAGGAAAATGTCTCTGGAGCTTTCCCCCTCCTCATTTCCACACCTCCCCTCTTCCTATTCTCCACCACCACCCCCTGCCCCACCTTGATTCCCAGAACTCCACACAGTGGCTCCCTTGGGTTACCATCAGCTCAGGAAATCCCTCTCTGTGGGTCCTCCAGCCCTCTCCCACTCACCCCTTCACCTCAGACCCATTAGTCCTGCGTCTTCTTCCTTTAACATTAATTTAGCATCTAGTCCAAGGACAGATCCAGGTTTTGTTCAGCCGGAAGCTTACACTGTTTTTGGTGTCCTCTTTAAGAAAAAACACAGAAGTATGAATACAAAATCACATATGAGAGAGAATATTATTAACTTGAAAAAAAATCACAGCAAATCACAAATTTTAAAAAGTAGATAAATACCACAAATGCCACAAATTCCAAAATATAGCATGCCGTTTTTATTATTTAATGTTCTTACAGCCCCCTGTAATACTTCTCCCCCACATTTTATGCCTGTGTACTCTTCTTTAATTGAAGGCTGTGTACTCTTTGATCACCTCTTCATTTTATAAAGAGAAGGAAAGATAATTCAGTCATGAATTATCATCGGTTTGTCTAAATTTGTTTGTACTTACTGCTAGCTGAGATACATTATCCTGCCTTCACGCACAGACTGTAATAGTGCTGTGGGTTTGTGCCCTGCAAACACAGAAATTCTGTTGTACTCGATTTCTATCAAAAAATTTAAAAATGCGTGCTGCATTTATAAGTGTATATGGTGCATTATTAAGTATATTCTTGAGAGGAGACAGCTTCCATCTTGCCTGCGTAGCAATGAGAACCAAATCTTTTCTGGCAATTTCGTGGATCTGATGGTTGTCCAATTTTCCAAAGCCCTGCTTCTGGCACCATACATTTCAGACCTTGTTTCTCATCCACCACCCACGTATGTCAAATGTCAGGTGCTATGGGACACATTCATGACATAATGTGACCTCGGGTTCTGTGCCTTCTTGTCACGAGGTAGAGTGAGCTGGTACGGAGGGTGGTAGGAGTATGGTGAGAAACAATCATGACACCAAGGTGGCTAGAAATAAATTAAGTATTCGTGGGTGGTTTAGTGGTCTCAAACCACATAAGTACATCCTACCACACTCAAACTGAATTTATCAGTTTCCCCTTAGCCAGATGCTGAAAGTGCTTATGGCCTTTCAAATGCCATCTGATGCAAGACTTAGAATCCACAAGGTGGCAGTGCAAAGAGACAAGAGTTGTAGCCAAATGTGGCTGAAACTGTTTACTTTTGCAAGTTGACAAAGACGTATGGCTAGTGAACACATTGCAGGGGCCCCTCCCGGGACTATAGAAGGAGCCAAGCAAGTGAGGTCCCTTCACCATCAGTCTCCTTTTGACCTAATCTGTGCCAGGCCTGTGCTCAGCCCTGGGTTTGTGAAGGGAAATGGAAAACATTTCCTACAGTGGGCTTTACCCGACCTGTCTTGACAGAAAATGACTGGACAGGAAAAATTATCCATTTCCTCTTTGTCAATTATCTGAATCAAACCACACAGGTCTAGACTGATATGGGGCTGGCCACTTGTTTCCAGGAGAGGCTGACTGTAGACCGCGTTCATGTCTGGCATGACCTTTTTGCCTGAATCCAATCGAAGGCACTTTGCAAAGTGCTTCCTTTGCAAGTCATTTCCAGGCGACATGCCAAGGCTTAAGTTCTCGCAATCTCTGCTAAGGAGTGGGAGACCTGTGCCCACAGCTTTGGCGGGTTAGTTCCCAGCTCTCTCTTTCTTCACCATCTCTGTGAGCCAAGATTTCTTCCAGATCCTCCACCAAGGACTCAAAGAGGTACAGGGCTTGCTCTGGTTTTTCTCTCAGAACCTTAAAATCCAGACCCCCACATTTTCCAGGACTGGCCCTAGGAATGTAAGAGGTTGCCGTAGCGTTAGGAAGCCGTTGCAGGAACCTCCCTGGGGACCGGGGACCTCACCCTTGTCCTGGCCCCATGAAGAGTTACAAACTCAAAGCTCCTAAACTTTAGATGGCCTTAATTATAATTATGGAAAAGTTTTGAGCTTCGAAACTGGAGGCCTGAACTCCAGTCTTGGCTTCTGCGCCATGGGAACTTGGACAAATCATCTACCCTCTTTAAGGCTCAATTTTCTCATCTATAAAATGAAGGAGTTCAACTACACAATATCTGAAGGTCCCTTCCATTTCTGTTATGGACAGCTATGATGTTGACAGGGAAGGTGATGAAGTGCCATGTTTCAATTGGTAATTGGTAGTAAAAGTGCCTGTGGGCCTAGCCTTCTGGTGGGTTCTGTGAGAAACACAAACTAATCAGGAGTTAGGGTCCAAAGAACTTGAACTTACCCCTTCATTAAACACACGGAGAAAGAGGGAAATGAAGTTAGGAAATAAAATCACGCTGATGTCTTTAGACTAAGGTGGGGGCAGGAATAAATGTGCGTTTGGTTCTACCCATGGAAATAAGCTCCCATCTCAGATGCTGATGAGTAACTGCCTAAGATATTATAGATTATAAAATCTAACAGAGAGTCTATTGACTGAAGGTCCAAGTAGCTTTGGTTGCTGATTATTTGCTGATAACCCAAAACAGGCTGATGTTGCAATAAGATTTCAAAAGATCTTAGTAATTAAAACCACATTAAATAATCAAAAAGGAATGATAAGAGATGATAACTGGGGTGGGGGTGGAGAGGGCAGGGAGGGGTAGAGGGAGAGAGAGAATCTTAAGCAGGCTACATGCCCAGTGTGGAGCCCAATGTGGGCCTCCAACTCACGATCCTGAAATCACAAGCTGAGCCAAAAATCAAGAGTTGGATGCTTAATGGACTGAGCCCCCCAGGTGCCCCACTGCTGCTCTTGAAATCAGAGCTCACAAGCAGCGCCCAGTATGGGGTAGACAGCTGTAATCCTTGGCAACATGGATAGCTGCTTCCCTGTTATGCCTTTAGGGGTCTTGGGTGCATCCCCAGGAGCCTTCCTCACTTAGGTGTTCACTTCTGATATTCATGGAGGGGCATACTCTATCATTAATTTCAAAATAAGACATCAAGTTTGAAAGGCAATCATTAGAAGAAATCAAAGATTGACTCCATGTCATTCTGGGCCTTCATTCCATCTCTAGAATTATTCATGATTTTTACTGGTAATTTCTTTTTCTAGAGTGGTTCCAGGCAATATGTCTCTCTGTTTTCCTGGGAGTATCTCAAGCGGGGAGCAAGTACCCCTGGCACAAAGTCCATTCAGATATCTTGTGCTTGCTTGCA